AACACAACGGTCTAAGAGAAGACCTAACCATCATGGCTTTCTTGTATCAGAGGGTGGGAGTAAATGCGGCCTGCCAGATCGTGAAAAAGCCTAATACCAGCCAGTTCTACTGAGTGCAAACCGATAGACAAATCAGAATGCATACCTCAAGGAATCTCATTAGCAAAAGCCAGTAGAATCCCCATGAAGCTGCCGCTGGTATCAGCATTGTTGATATTCCTGAGATCAATCCGAACAGTGTGAACATTTTTCTGAAAAGGAACGTCCTGGTTCACCAAGATTTGTGATGATCAATGGGAGAACAAACGGAAAGAAATTCTGTGGTCTTTCAATATCCTCGAACAACGTAAGACCCTCGAATGTGAACCTGAGGGTAGCTCTCGTTTCGAGGAACATCACCGGATAAGTTCCAGCGATTGAGCCGATCGCGACAATGGCGAATAGCCATGATTGTTGTGAGTGAGTGTAGTGATATAAACCACCCGCTGAAATTTGCATTCGTTCAATAGTTTAATCACTGGTCGTGAACACAAAACGATTTCACGAATTCAGATCTTCATAACACCCGAAATCCTTCAAGATAATTCATGAAATTCGATAAATTAACTGGAAATCCTTTTCATTCTGATGTGCGTCTTTTAAAGAGTTCTAATTTAAATCATTCTATGACGATCATACGCGCGATTTCACTCCCGCACTTATGCTCACCAGCAATGAAATTGCGTATTAACAAAATCAGTTTCAATCCGTCAAATATATTCTAAATATGAAATGCCATAAAATCTTTAATCAGTATTGAGAAATCGGGATGTGACTCCAAATTCAAGATTTTCCTTCACTGAATTTGCTGACGAATGAACGAACTTACATGTTCCATTGGTTCCGTTCACGGTCCCACCATCATCAGACATGCAAATGATCGTGAAGTTGAGAACGAGGGAATTGCCCATCAACCACGCCAAACATATTATTGACAGTACCATAATAACATATCTGGTAGAGTTGCAGAATGAGAAGATTGGGTGCTCGTGTATTCGAGTGATATACTCTTGATGTTCACGGGCTTTTTCTGGATCAGTTGGTTTTAGCAGGTTCGTCATTTTGCAAGTACTACTACCTTCAGGTTATGCAGATGTTTCGCCGAAAATCTCTATCTTTCTCTCTGAACGTTGCTTTAGACTATTCACTGGATGAGTGTATCCAACTGGCTCTAGTGAAAGCTTTGGTAGCTATTTGCTCAGAAG